TTCGGAACTTGGCGACTGCGGAAGAAATTTACGAACCGGAAGATTCAGGCGAGTAATACTGCTGTACGGCCGAAGGACGGATGTACGGTACAGCAGATATATATATATATATATATATATATACTATCTTAAAGGTACGTTCCTCAATATAAACTTTATTTATGAATATTATTTAAATAATTATATATACACACACGCACACGCATGCACGCGCGCGCACGCACGCACATACATACATACATACATACATACATATAAACAAACAAAAACATTTTTTTAGGAAAGCTGTTATTATTATTGTAATCAAGCAACTACTAGAAATAACACACTCTCACCAGTTACCCCTATTACGTTACTACTACAGATCTTACACAAACATCTGCGGGCGGGCGCCACCGGGCATAAAACACGTGACGCCGGCGAGGTACTTACCCGAACACGTGTTTCAGATAAAGCCCTTCGCCAGGGCTTTTCGTCCTTGTCTGCGGCTCATCGTTGTGGGGCCTTACAGCGCCCTCTATCGGGCGCACAGGGCGCTCGTACAGCACCTGATTCTCCTGCTCCACCTCGGAATCCAGACCTTCGTAGTCAGACACGTCCGAGTTGCTCTCGTCGCTGTCTGATTCGACAGTAGCTGCTTCCAGTATACGAACAGAGCAGACGATAGTGAATTTCCATTTGCGCCAAATTTAAATATAGTGTATACATTTATATAAATTTATTATATAAATATATGTATAGTGAGGAAGAATGTTCCCGAAATCTCACGGAAGTATAAGAAATGAAAGAAACGATCCTTGGTTGTCGTTTGTCGCGCTTTAATGGCGTGTATTGGTTTACTAACTCTGTTTAAGTGTTCTATTCAAGTACTGAAGTGCGCACACAGTCTCGAGTAGGAACTGTAGAACGTGCAATGAAAAATACCATAGGAGACTTGTGAATGTCAAAATGATAAATGAAAGTTGGATGTGTTAATGCGTAGACTTTGCACTTAGAATCAGGTCCCTAGTTTAAATGGGACGTGCGATTGACAGGTGGCCGTTAGCTCATGTCATCAAACAGATCAGAAGGATTTTTCTTATAACCATCACGTTTCGAGTCGTTAAACAAATCGTGTTTCACCAACAAACGAACACCTCTTCTGAAAACAGGCTACAATCGAAAAAACAAACATGGTAGTGCATGCTCAACGTGAATGATGTGAGCAAGAATGATTCCAAAGACTAAGCAAAATTTTCGGTAATCCAGAGCGGATGCATTGGACAGTTTTATAATCTATAATATATTTGTATAATTATTTGTATACCAAAATTGGAATGGTTCATTGGATTGGTGACGGCAGGGGACTGTTAGGGCATAACCCGTGTAAAAGCCTCGTGCGCTGAATAGATTCCTTTTAGTCAGTCTAAAGTGTAATATTACAGACAATCTCTCGCTTTCTCTCTCTCGCGCGCACTATCTCTCTCTCTCTCTCATCTCTCTCTCTGATCGTCACTCTCTCTGTCTCGTCTCTCTATCTCTCTCTCTCTCCCTCGTCCTCTCTCTCTTGCTCTTTCAATTTCTTTTCTCTCTCTCTCTCTCTCTCTCTCTCTCTCTAGAGCTAATATAAATAAATAAATATATATATATATATATATTATTATTTATTTTATTTATTTACTTAATTTATTTATTATATATAATATAATATAAGAGTTATATATATATATATATATAATATAAGGTATATATATATATTCGATCGATCTAAATTCTACCAAATGCTATTGCTACCAAATATCCTATAATATATTAAATTCCCCTTTTTGGTTCTACTACACATTATTTGCACAATACCGACCTGCTATCTCGTACATGGCCGTCAGCTCGCTAGCGTCAGAACGGCCTGTTTCCACGGCATCCGTTGTTAGAAAGCGCCATTGGAAGATGGCCTGATCAGCGCCACCTGTCGAGATAACTCGACTGTAATCGCTCGAGAATCTCACGTTGGTCACGTGGGCTGAATGGCCGATGTACTTTCGGAACTTGGCGACTGCGGGAAGAAAATTTCGAACCGGAAGATTCAGGCGAGTAATACATAATTAAGATCTGTAACCACCAATTGCTTATTTGTCACGTAATCACCCGAGGTTGTCAGTTATTGATTAAACCGATACGACGGGAGAGAGCATTCCACTGTGTGTGGTTTACGACTAGTAATATAGGGAGTATAATTATAAGGAGGTGCGCGCGGAAGAGAGATTTATCATACCACTTGAATAATTGATAGACTGCGTTGTCACTTGCGTACGCCTGCATGCTGACTTAATTCAAGCATATTACATATCAAATCATTTTTAATTAGCCATTTATTAACTATTAGCCCTCGTTTATATGAACGAGTATGTGAATATAGATAAAATCAAGCGCTAATAATACATATATTGTTAGCTCTTGATAAAATTAAATGTAGTTTTTCGAATGTTGAATTGAAATATTTTTTAATTAAATTGCTATGGCTGCAGAACATTGCATATCTTTTAGACACTACTTTTTTGTAATTATAGCTTTACGTAGGACCGTACGCTTGTATGTTACTGGACATGAGCATAGCGATGAGTATGGTGGGGACTGCCACCTGGTGTTTGGAATAGATCAATAGACAGTACACAACACAACAAAGAGCAAAATATTTCACAATCATCCTTTTTATCAGAAAGCGGAATATATTATTCTCGCGTCTATTAGAATTATTACATAGAAGAAATACATAGAACAGAATAGTTATTACATTCAGAGCGTGCGATATTGCCTCTTGAGAACAACACGCATATAACATTGCAACGCAACGCTAGTCACTTCATTTCTCACCTTTCTTCGGAGACGGAAACCGTAACAGCTTGACCAGGCCAAAGTCGTCGGCGGTCACTATGACCTCTCCGTCCATGTAGACGTCTACGGCGTTCACGTCGTTCGTGTCCGTGTACTTCGGCCAGATGCCGTTGACCTCCGATCCGAGCACGCACGTCCACGTTGCCCACTGTATAGCAGCAATCTCGTCGGCACTGGTAACGCGATTCCCCTCTGCCGAAAAAATACATTTACGCAATCAAATGTCGCAACTTATATACCTGAGAGAGCGCTTGCAGTAAGCGCCGCCGAAATACATTTACGGAATCAAAATTTAATGTCGCAACTTATATACCTGAGAGAGAGAGAGCGCATGTAGTAAGCGTCGAACTACGACAGCGATTAGAATCAGTGAATCAAGATCTCCGCGGTTAAATTCCCTAGACGGGATTCTAGCAGGGGTGAATAATGACAAATATTTGACAATATAATGACAAAAATTTGTCATAATTCACCCCTGATTTTATACATCTCGATATTTCATGGCAAGCATATTAGGATGCGCTCCCGTTTCTTTGTTAGGTTATTTTTAAGTGGCAAAAACTGCTGTTAAAGAGGAATAAGAAGATATGTGCGTGGTAGCACCTTGGCCCGCCTAGTGTAAACAGCGCATGCGCATAGATTATTGAGCCTAGCAACATTATATTTGTTCTTGAAGTTGAGAAAGCTTGCACAGCATGATTTGGTAATACGTACAAAATGACCGAAGCACTAGTGAGATAATTCATTATGGTAGCATAATACAGAATGCATCGTGCAAATTAAACATCTGTTGTAATGACGTATCATTGCAAAGCGAAACAGCCGGTTGTACGTGCAACGCATTGATCTCTACTATACTAACTATACTAACTATACTAACTATACTAACTATACTACGTTAGTATAGTAGAGATCAGTGGTGCAACGTACCAGGCATTTTGAAAAATAGCCGCTCGGCGGCGCCACTGTTAGTCTGTACGTAGCTGCCATCATGTGACCAGTCCAGATGAGTGATGAAGCTGGAGCTACCCGAGCAATGTCCTACCTGTAACACATAGGCATTTATCATCCTGAGGTGGCAGCATTTTTTGTCTAAAAGATTTATTTTAAACTGTTTGCGAGTTGAGTTTAAACACTTCAATTTTTAATTAAAGCAATAATTAATTGAAATAATTTCTAAACACATCACAACCAGATGGCATAGTTCAATTAGAATCTAGGTGCCAACAACACTGCTCAATATCTACAAATACAATTGGAACCGGTTATAACTCCTAATAGCCTTTTTGCCAATACGGTAGGACGTGAATCTTGGCATGAAGGGTTGCACAAGATGAGGAGGGCTAGATCCAGGCTGCACAAAACTGAAGCTAACGTTTGTTATGCACATGCTGTTTCGATCTCATTTGTCAAACAGTGGATTGACCTCATAATTAATGATTATAATATAATATGATCATAAGTAAACATCACAGTAAATACCTATGGAGGGGTGGAAGGAGCAAAAACGACAAGAGCGGGATGCGCGCACAGACTATATATATACGAGATGAACGAAAAACGAAAAACAAGCGAACATGCTGATCATGCCTCCCACACGCCTAGTAGCTCTCACCCTCTTGTAGTTGGCGTGCACTTCGTAGATGTCGACATGGTTGTCATTGGAACCGACGGCAAGGAAGTCTCCATCAGGCGAGTACTTCATCTCATGTATGACTTCTCTCCTGTCACGACCATGCACCACCTGCGACATGTCACTGCAAGAATACAGCCATTACGTTACATACCAGCCGAAACTATGTGGATGCTCTAGTAATTAATTCCAGCTTCATGTATAATGATTTATGATTTGCTTCAGCTTCCAGCTTCATGATGACTACATACATAATTTAAGCCACGGGTTTTGTATGTTTGACAGTATATATTTGATGTAAGTAATTCGAGGTTGACTCTAATTAAATAGTTCGTGCCACGACCACGTATGTCATGTTTGCCCTCTACATATTCCCTAATGTAAACTTCTATGCAGCAATAAAGTGCCTCATAAAAGGGTTATTTAAGACATCGCTGTGCAATAATCTATCTTATATATAGGATATTCGTTATAGTATTAGTATAGGGTACACGCGCATAGATGTATAATTTTTGCAGCTCACTTCGTTTGGTATACTATGAAGCTTCCGTCGCAGAATCCTGCCGCTAGGTGGAGTCCATCTGCTCTAAATGCGAGCGAGCGCACTTTATCCGGCACGCTTGTGCACATGAGCAGTGCATTGTCCACCATGCTCCAGATTCTGGGGAACACGTGATTGCGGTGACAAAGAGCCATATAGGTCATGCACCACTGAGCGGTGTGTAATAATTACGTACATTTATGATGATAATAATGTTACTATATACAGCTCAGTACCATGCAGGATGAGACCAGCAGCATAATGACAGAGCTACATGTACAGAAGGAAGGCACACAGAACTGCAGTACGTTAACTGATCAAAGCCGGATCTTGGTGAAGCGTTCCGCGTACCAAGACAATAGATCCATTCATTAATAAAGCGAAAACGGATTTAAGGCGTACACATAAGAAAGCTAATTATTTGAAAAACCTGCGCACTAGCTAAACTGGTATTATATAATACAAATACGGAACGAAAATCTCACCATTTAGAAATGATTAACCCCATTTTACAGATTTTTTAAATCACAGAGATGTTCTTGCATTTTTTATTCAACTTTCAATACGAACGCTTTTATACAATTTTAGACAAATCCACCGCTACCTGATTGTCTTGTCATCGCTACCCGTCGCAAAGATGGTCTTCTTCGGATTCGGATGCACAGCCAGCGCCCAGAGTTCACCTTGACCGTGACCTCGCGCGATGCATTCGACCTTGAGCGTGTCCGACTCGGCGCCGAGGCCTGACACCTCGATGATGTCCGAATCCCGCGTGCCGACCAGGACACGGTCATCCCGCCAGCAGACTGACCGCACAACCAACCCTACGCGCGCGAGCATTCATGAGCATCATACAAAATGTCGGACTTTTCGAGTTCATTAAAATAATCGTTACGTTAAGGTTAGCACAAACGTATTTTATTTGCGTATTTGCGTATTTATTATCATTATTAATATTATTATTATTATTATTATTATTATTATTATTATTAATTATATTATGAAATCTACAAATAAATAAATAATAATAAATAATAGCTGCGTCGTTATTATTGTAAGCTGATCAGCAGAATTTGCCGCGTGGTGACGGGGTCCACGCGTTATTAGGTGCTAGCACGAGTTGTCCGCGTGATTTTGGCCAGAAGTTGGAGCTTATTATATGCTTATACAGCTTATTACTCCAAGGTCAGAGCCAACGCGCGTTATATATGAAGAGCCCTTATTGTGTGCAAAACTTGCCATATGTCCATTTCTGGAAAAATGACGATGAAAACGACAAAAACAACATTTGGGTTAAACAATGTGCTGATAGATATAGGTATTTTGCAACTAAAGGTTTTTTGGATGTAAGCTAAAACATATTCTATGATCGGGGCTGCAGCCATGATTGTAGGCTGTTTTCAAGAAAAAACTGCTACACAGTACCTATGTTCATCATACTATACATCCGGTGCGTTTAAATCATGTTTTGAAAAAAATCGATTATAGCAGTTTTCGCAAATAAGCTGTTCGATATAATATATGTGTGCGTGTGCGTGTTGTGTGTGTGGTGTGTGTGTGTGCTGTGTGTGGAACCGGATGTGTGTGTTGTGTGTGTGCGCTGTACTGGGGTGTTGTGTTGTGTGATGTGAGTGCGTGTGCGTGTGCGTGTGCATGTGTGTGTACAGCAGATTTAATGCGTATACGAAAGGAAACCCTCCAAATATTGAACGGTAATTAGAAACCCTCATTCACCTTTGTATCCGACGTCGTGTTCCTGCATGCTGAATCTCCCGATTATATTAAAATCCGAAGACCACGTGATCACGAAGCCATCCTTACCTCCCGTCACGAAACCTTCCTCGCACGTGTCCATCGAGTAAACTGCTCCCTTTGAAGGAAACTCACAATTTGGTGAAAAGCAATCGGTAAAGTAAAACACATACTCAAGTTTCAGCGACGTTTTTTCAATGCATTTTTTAGAGGATTTACATTATTTAATACTGGTACAGCATCTTCAACTCGACGAAGGATGTTGGTTATATCTCTGCGCCATTTCATCCTTATGTTATTGCTCATGTGACAAAATCAATATGTTTCAACCAGTGTTGCCTCTAAGCTGTGCGTGTGTGCGCGTGCACACGTTTTGCAACCAGCGCACAAAGGAAATTAATATGCGCACAAAAGGTTATATAGTTCAAAGTATAGAACAAAATCTTAACTAAATACGTTACTTCGTAGAATGCAATCATACTTGTATTATATTAAAACGTCCCAATACAGTTTTATTCGCCATTAGAGATATATTAGCTGTAGATATTGGCGTAGTTGAAACCAATGTTCGCTCTAATTATTAGTAGTCAGTGTGCGCGAAAATCTAATGTTGTGCAAAAAAAATGTCTGTGCCAAAATTATCTCGCAACAATTTCAAGTTTACATTTGCACAACCATTCAGTGCGCACATACCTTTGTCACAGGAAATTTTTTTGCACAACATAAGATTTTCGCGCACACTGACTACTAATAATTAGAGCGAACATTGGTTTCAACAGTCTCTCACCGGTTGTCATATGTCTTAAACGGCAGTAGCGATTTAAAAATAGGTTCAATAGGCGAGACCGCTCACCTGCTACAACTGTTAGCAAGAGGCAAAGTTAATTTTTTTTACGTAAAATTTCTTGAGGCATCATTGAAAGCTATTGCTAGTTCTCGTAAACTGACTCTGGTGCAACATCCCATAGGTCAGGGCCCTGTACAAGCGGGCGTGGACATATGAGTACATATCAGCCATGGTTTATATCAGCCGAGATGCAAATAAACCCGAATAAAATATATAGGCATACGCACAGTCGATGTCACTGTGATAAATGTAATGGACTACCCGTTCCAAGTTAGAACTCGGACCAGATGGCCCAAATAAACCCGCGTTGTCAATAATAAAAAAAATATATAATCAAATAGAAAGCATGTGAATATATGTCGAAAACATTTTTTAAATATTACAATGCACTCACTTTGTGCGCATCTTCGATGACATTTTTTAGCTTAGTTCCCTGCCACTTATAGATGTTACCACTGGTCATCCCAGAATATGTGACATCTCCAGAAGCAAAGGCCAAACAGAGGACTGTTTCTATTTTCTCAAGCTGGCAACGAAAAACAATTTAAACAGATTAAATTATTTAAAGCATCGGCTCATTTCGTAGTTACGTATATACCGTCCGATTTTCAAATCTCACCTATCGCTACAGTAATAACAACTGAGAAATTCTGTGTGGCTTATTATTTATATATATATATTTATATATATTATTTTATTATATATATATATATATATATTTACACGTAGTACTGAAAGCTCACAAGCCGCTCACAACAAGTTTGATTAACAGCGCTTCCTCGTTTGAGAAAAAAAATACATGCACAAAGTACCTTGCCAAAAACACCCTTCTTGCACGTAAGCGAGTTTCCACAGAGGTTCCAGAATTTTATGTGCTTGACTCCGCAGGACACGATGCGATTCTCAGTGAAGCGATGAAACTGGATATCAATCACCTGCACACGGGGGTGGTGAAACAATGAGGTGGACACACCCGATGTACCCGGACTCTGAGATCAATATATATATATTTTTTCTAATCTATTTTAATTCTTAGCATTAGCCATAGTCGTTACTATACGATGGACCTGACAACGGACCCCAGGAACGTATAATAAATAACCTGAGCGCAGTCGTAACCGTGATAGGACGTGTCAATAGAACGACATCGCCCGCATTGACGTAGGCGGCTATGGTGAATGCAAGATAGATAAACTGCGTGCGACCAGACATAACTAAATCTCAGCTGTAGCTGATTCAGGGGAACCAGATTAACGCGATGATTATTAAACTCTGCTAAATTTCAATTAGATGAGCGCTATCACCATCAAAACTAAATTATAAATTTTCAACTCTATAAAAGAATGAAGAATGAAATGGGGTGGGTTGGCCACACACTGCGGAAGAAACCGACCGACATAATACGCACGGCGCTGAGCTGGAACCCGCAAGGAAGACGTCGGGTAGGAAGGCCTCCTGGAACCTGGAGGCGAGACTCGGAGGCGGAACTCAAGAAGCAGGGCTACACTTGGAGAGAGATGGAGCGGAAGGCGACCAACCGAGCGACATGGAGAGAGTTTAAAAAAATGACCTATGTCGCCCAGGAGACTGAATGGTTACAGAGAAAACGAAATTTCAATTATACAAAATATATTGAGTCGTACAGGATATATATATACACACACACACATAATATAATATATATATATATATAATATATATATATATACCGTAAAGATTATATACGTGTATGCAGTGCCGGTGGTTCGTGCTTGGTGTGTGCGTGCGTTCGCTACGTGTGTGCGTTTGTGCGTATGTGCGTGCGTGCGTGCGTGCGAGCGTGTGTGTGAAGGGTAAAGCCAGGTCTAATGTATAATTAGTGGTAACATACCCTGTCTGAATGTCCTCTTGTAGTAGCAAGGATTCTACCCTTTCTCCAGTCCCAAACATTCACGGTCGAGTAGTTGTCAAGGCCCACTGACACCAGTCTCTAAAATTAAGTATAAGTACACCTATAGGTAACCTCCGTACATTAGCAAAGTTAAAGCAATAATATTATTTATTAGGTATTATTCTATAATTATTTATTTATTTATTTATTCATAGTCAATTTATATAAATAATTACTTAATCTATGAATGATAATAATATTACAATAGCGTAATACACAAAAACAGCAAAGAAGTGAAAGACAGCAAGAAGGCGAGAAGAGGGGCAAGGGAGAGGTGGGGATGAAAATGCAGATGGAGACGGAGACGAAGAGGGCGAAGAAAATGAAAAGATAAAATGAAGAAGGCTATGGCTATTAATGAAATACTTGGTATATTGCGCATGATACTTAAAAACAATTAAGATCAAGAATGAGATCAAAATTCAAGATATGCGAAAGATATCTACAGAGGACAGACAAGTCGGGTATAAGATGTATATATTTAAATGACAACTGGAAAAATTTGCGACTGTTTCACATTTTCTCGCAAAAGTCTGATATATATTATTAATTTATTATTGATTAACGATTTTAAGCTGCCCACGTTTCCATCGTTGCAGAAGTCGATAGCAGCGATGCCGGTCGTGTGGCCGTCCTTCAGAATTGACAAGGTTTTCATGGTGACGCTCTCCCACACACACATGTAGGGCGATTTACCAATTTGACCTGTGCAGACTATGCTTTGGTTTGGATGGAGCGCCAGACTGAAAGATCGCAAAAGAAGATAGTAGAAGTACGCTTAGCTGCCGCAATGGGCCGTGATGGGTATATTTGGCTTCATTTTACATCTCATTTTATTAAACGAGGCTCGATTCTAGAATGTGTATTCAACGTGTATAATGCTATATTAGTTCATGTTACAAAGAACAACCCCGACGGCAAGGAAGCTTGATGCAGGGCTGCTAACTATTTTATAAAGACAGGGAACATAGTTATAGACGAGAACAACAGCAACTGTCCAATAATATGATTAGGTAATACGGAGGCAGACGGTTAAATAGACCGTACCATTACACCTTATACGCGTAATCATAATTCGACATGCGCTAGCATTCACAAACACTTATATGAATTCGTCTATTGAAGCCACACTGATATTACATCCAGGTACAGCGATGTTATTACACCGGTTCGGTAAATAATCAGGCTTCCACGGAAACCGCAGAAATCCTTGCAGTAACCAATGTCGAACGTTAAATATGAATAATAAGCATCCGCGAAAAAATACATGCAGCATCAGCAGGCTAGACTTCCTTTACAATACAGCCCCTATATGACCACCACCATCGCCATTCTGTATACACAATAATTCACATCTATAATACACCTAGCTACACTCATGCACTCGTTCAGGCACTCACTTACACTCACTCACGCACGCACTCATACACGCGCACGCACACACACACGCACATATCCGTGCGCACGAGCACACACGCGCACGCGCACACACACGCATTATACGCACGCACTCGTGTACACGTGAAGAAACATGCACACACACACACGCGCGCGCGCACACACACGCACACGCAAGCAAGCACATGCGGACACACGCATGCACGCACGCACGCACACACGCACGCACACACACACACACGCGCGCGCGCTTGCACGCACGCACGCACACGCCGCTTATATATATATATATATAAATGTAATGTAATATAATATAATATATAATAATAAATAAATATATTAAATGCAAATATGTATATAAATTATTACACGGAAACAGGGAGAGAGACAGAAAATTTTATCACACCAACTTAGTCTTTAGTCATTCGGTTAAGCAACACAAGAATTCATCATTCATATATATTAACATCGACGTACACACCTAATGATGTCATCGCTGTGTCCGAAGAAGAAGCGCTGCTTATGTGCTCTGCTGTTGAACACAACACCTACGGCCGCCACGAAAAATACCACTTCTTTACTTTCGGTGTAGTAGAGGTTATTCTTACACTTGTGCCCACGATAGCCGTACACCCATTCTAGACGGAGCTGTGACGTTGGTGCACTCCGATCAACAGACATTGTGGGTGCAGTTCACAAATCCTACAACAGAAACAATCACGAACTTATAGAGAATTAAGAGAATTAGTATGATTTTATAGGTTTTATAACCTCGTAAATCTTCGTAAGGAACCACTATGTATTTTTCACATTCAATTAGCAAAGCTGTGCCAGTTTTTCAAAAAATAATGCCGCTCAATGATTGTGCAAGTAAACGTGGCCACGCTTTTACACTTTCCTTAGGTCCAACAATTTACTGTACATTAAAATGATTTTCATATATTGCGTCAAAAATGGCGACATATTCCTCTTCTTCTTACTCAGGTTTTTATTTCGTTTTGCTATTTTAAATTATCCTTTTTATTCGATTATTTGAATTTTCAATTAGTTTTTATTTTTATTTTTATTTTTGTTTACAATTTTCATCTGGTTTTCATTTCAGTTTTTATTCTGTTTTTATTTCGTTTTCATTTTATTCTAAATTCATTTAAACTGCTTAATCCATGTTTAACTTAAATGGAAATGAAATGAAATCTAAATAAAAATGTAAATAAGAGTGAAATAATTTAAAACGACAATATATAAAGGAATAATGTCAAAATCTAATGAATACTCAAGTAGCTATCTCGGACAAGCTGTAGATATTGCCAGGTTTAATAATAATACTGATGTTTAATCCTACAAATCAGATTCAATAGGAATTACATTAGCTGTTAGGAAGCCTTGGAGGAGGCATCGTCTATGGAAACAGTGTATTGTGTAAAATCAAGATATCATCGCGCAGTGGTGATAAATAATGGCAACGATACAATATGTATTTCGTTCAACGTTACAATACCATACAACATTACATTATATGTTCACAAGGAGAACACATTGTCTCGTTCCGCTGAGATATTACATCTACATTACAAGAATAGTAGATTTTTGCGCATGCACTATATAATAGACCGCATACTACATTATGCGAAACTATGCGACGAATGCGTATATCTAAAACATATTTGTGAATTTATGTCTGTTTGTTTGTCTGTTCTCAATGCAAATCAATATGAAACACTCTAGAAATGTCCAAAGACATTCAGTTGGGGTAAATTTTAATGCTGAATGTCATGGGCACATTGGATTTGACCTCCGAGGTCATCTAAGCAAAAAAAACACGAAAACGGGAAAAAATAAACGGGCCCCTGCAGCAACAGGATTCAAGTCAAAACAGTCTAAACAGGATTCAGCTTGCACGGACAGCTTTACTGTTACTAAAGATACAGTAGATCAATAAATAAATAGATAGATATATAGTTGGGGAGTAGTTGGGGAGATAGATATATAGTTTGGGAAGGAATAGTGCCCTCGCTACCGCTCGGGCACTATACCCTCCCTCAGCAACACTATGAGAGCATAGTGCCCCCAACAACAGGCATTAATATATAAATAACCCGCGCTGAGGGGTTCTAAAAATCTGTGAATAACTACACGGCACTAATATATAGCAGCAAAATTATTACGGGCTGGCTACCTGTAGCGAGCCACAGCCAGGTGTACGTATAATCACTGATATTGACATTACTGACGATTCATATATGTGTGTGCGTGTGCGTGCATGCGTGTGCGTGTTCGTGTGTGTGTACATATATATATATATATGCCTGCGTTTGGCAAAATCATTACGGGCTGGCTATACGTGTATAATCACGGATATTGACATTACTGACGATTCACACACACACATATATATCTATATATATATAATATATATATAGTACTTGCGTTTGGCAACAAGTAAAATATTTAGAAGATTGCCTATCGCGCATTTAGCGCGTTTTTACATTGTTTATAAATTAAATACGGTCTATAGACTCACGATAACGCAAGAACTTTCACGAAATAGGCACATATGTACACACACAAATATCTCCTCAGCTCGTCATGATAAATATAGAGCATTTATACGTTTCGTATACAGCGTACTTATATTTTTAACAAAAAACGCTCACCACTAAACGACAAATAGCCTAACTTGCAAACAGCATAAATATCCTAGCTATCACTAGGGGCATGTGACAAAACAGATTTATTTCACCATGTACTTCTAGTAAATCTAACGCTATTTGATAATTCTCATACGTAATTACGTACCATAATATACCATGTACGTGATTCGTACTACATCTATTATAGCAGTGACAATAATAACTCACCGAGGCCTATATGTGATGATATTTCGCGCTGCCGTCTAGTTCCTACTCAATTCTTTGATTTGATTCTGCGGATCTAATGCTTTGAACCAGGAGCAAGACTGTAGATGACATGCACAACGTAACGCCATTCGTAGCACTGTATATGCGCCTGTTGTCAGCGCCACATAGCTAGCAGCCATACAAGTAGGCTTCACTTCCGTATCATATGGTCACAGGTTAGCATTATCGATCTGCCAGGTAAATCTATACAACAACGCTAGCTCCACCTGGAGCAGGAAACTACAAATATTGATCACCGTAAGCTAGCATCAAATAATGTTATATATTCCTATAGTAATTATATATTACTATTATAATATCAGGAGTAAGATAATATAGAATGATATTATAGATGATATAGGATTATATAGGATGATAGGATGATAATATAGTAAGATAATATATTCCTATATTATCTTACTCCTGATAATATCACGAGCATAGAGTGAGAGGAAGAGATAGGGAGAGAGAGAGAGAGAGAGAGAGAGAGAGAGAGAGAGAGAGATAGAGAAACGAGAGAAAAGGAGAGAGAGGAGAGAGAGAGAGAAACGAGAGAAAAAGATATTAAGAGAAAGAGAAGAGAAAGAGAAAGAGAGAGAGAGAGAGAGAGAGAGAGAGAGAGAGAGAGAGAGAGAGCGAGAGAGAGAGAAAGGGAAGATACACACACGCACCGCTCGCTGGCACGCACGCACACGCTCGCTGGCACGCACGCATACGCTTATTGCCACACACACACACGCACGCGCTCGCTGCCACGCACGCACACGCTCGCTGGCACGCACGCACGCGCTCGCTGGCACGCACGCACACGCTCACTGGCACGCACGCACACGTTCGCTGGCACGCACGCACACGTACGCTCGCTGGGACGTACGCACACGCTGGCACGCACACACACGGTTATTGCCACACACGCACGCGCTCGCTGCCACGCACGCACGCGCTCGCTGCCACGCACGCACACGCTCGCTGGCACGCACGCACGCGCTCGCTGGCACGCACGCACACGTTCACTGGTACGCACGCACACGCTTGCTGGCACGCATGCACACGTTCGCTGGCACGCACGCATACGTTCGCTGGCACGCACGCACACGCTCGCTGGCCCGTACGCACACGCTGGCACGCACGCACACGCTTATTGCCACACACGCACGCGCTCACTGGGACGCACGCACGCGCACGCACACGCTCGCTGGCACGTACGCACACGCTCGCTGGCACGTACGCACACGCTCGCTGCCACGCACGCGCACGCTCGCTGCCACGCACTCACTCGCTCGCTGGCACGCACACACACGCTCGCTGGCACGCACACACACGCACGCTGGCGCTCACGTACACGCACGCTGGCGCGCGCGCCCGCGCTCGCTTGAACGCACGCACTCTCTCTTTCTCACGCACACATCACACGCGCGCACGCGTACACACTTACACACACATGCACGCACACACACGCGCACGCACGCACACAACACACACTCGCGCACGTGCACGCACGCACACAACACACACTCGCGCACGTGCACGCATGCACACAACACACACTCGCGCACATGCACGCACGCACACAACACACACTGACCTGATGTTGACTTCCACCAATAATTCATTTGACAGTGCACTCGTGAAAACGATTCATTATATTTGATAAAAGGTATAGATAAAATAATGTGAATTACATTATACGACTTGTGTTTTTATACAGGTACGTTTATAAGCTATAATATATATAATATATATATATATATATATAAGCCATATCTCGTTTAGAAGCCAGGCAAGATTTTTTATTTACATTTTGAATCTCGTCAAACATTAAATTTAACAGAAATTTATAATAACAGATGTATAGGGAGTGTCTAGTGCTTCATTTATTGTTTTTGTTTTTTTTTGCGGCAGGGCAGATCCTATGGCTGCTTCGTTGTAATATTGGGAAACTTTCCATACAGCAGTTGGCCGCACACACTACAATAAAAAACGTTCTGTTATTGATTACACGTATGTTGATGATTTTTTCAGAGATAGTTGCCATGCACAGCTCATGTCAACTGATTTCATTGTATCTTGGATTATAAATGATTCACTTTGCACCTGAATTACTATTCTCAACCTATTATTATTATACACACGACAATATAGTGATATTTGCCTCTTCTAGAGATACGTTGCTGTTAACGACTTTTTTTTAAACTTTTGTGGAGTCAGAAATATCTCCCTTCACGCTAACCCTAACCCTAACCCTAACCCTAACACTAACAAACGCACTAACCCTAATCCTAACCCTATCTCTAACCCTAACCCTAGGGTTACGGTTACGGTGTATGACTTTACAACCAAATAATGACCAGTTACTATCGTTAGTTTATATGTATGCTGAATCATCTGTGATAATGCGAGCCGTACCCATCAGTCCCCGCGGTCCTTTACTCGTCTTTGGCTCAACATTTTAGTGCATTAGTTTCAGTTTTTTTACAGCATTACCGCAATATTTATTATATCTTTTAAATCTGTTTGAAAATGTAACAGACAATCACAAATCAAAACTATTAATATATGTGTTACAAATATTTTGTTACGCGTCGGTTTCCTTCGTTTTTAATAAATTATTCACAATATTTGCCTTAATGCCTAACTGACGAATGAACATGGTCATGTACTAATTGTGTATACTTACTTCTGCAAGCTCGTCTCTGTTGGATTTGCTTGATTTTTCTTATCTGTGTGAAATAAAGGCAATTTTATAATCATGACAAGTTCTCTGCCACTTTTTTTTTGAAGAAGATTTGAGCTTGTTTGACAAACCAACAACTGGCGACTTATAAAGCTAAAATTCAACTGTAATAGGAAGAATTAACATTGTACCGATTCTAGAAACAAATAAGTAGTTCTTAATGCCCGAGTTCTTAATCTCTCAAGATGACTTTATAGTGGGTTATATTACTATGGATCGCCAGTAACTGCCCACTAGACGTTGAATATACAACTGACACATTCGAAGGTAACGGGACGCTGCTCGTGTCACCGAGCTATGCCACTAGATGTCTCTTGGCCAAGGCCAGCTTAAGGGTCAAGGATTATTATGCACTGCTCTACATGGAAGCATATTGCGTGAGTTTATTCCCGGTTGGTCTACTCCCGCTCCCATTTCGCCTACGGCAAAATTCCCAATTCACCTACAGCAAAATTCCCAGTTGGCCTACTCCCAATTCGTCTATGCTCAAAATCTACCCCATTTCCATTTCGTCTACGATCGGTTTGTTCACTAAATAATCATTTATAAATAATAAAATATGGTTTTGATTGGCAGGAACCAGAAGAAAACATAGGTACAAATAATTAGAACACAACTTGACAAAAATATAAAATACAGTAGCATAAAAATGAAACAATGGGAGTAGGCGAAATATGAATATTGCCGATTCTAAGAGTAGACGAAATGGGCGTAGACGAAATGGGAGTAGGCGAAATAGGTGTAGGCAAAATGGGAGTAGGCCAACTGGGATGTTACCGTTTCGTGTCACCTGTGCGGTCGGTGCATGAAGCAGTGCCGACGCGCTGCCATACTGCTTGGTACTCCTCAAAGGAGAGCTTGCGCGGGCGCGATGGTACACTGGATTGCTCGATGACGTCACGGTTCTTGCTGCCTCCGCTGCAATCCTTACACAACTGCATGTCAGATACTCCAGCTATGACAAAGTAAACATTAACGTGGGTGTAATAAGGGTTGCCGCAAAGATTCCTCCAACTTTTGACTTTATAGGTTTCCATCGAGCGTTTAAGTCTCAGCAAGAGTTCTTTCTAGCCCACCATAGCCCATCAATTGTAGTTACATTGCAAATGCAAGGTCAGCCGAACACTGACTGATAGAGGTACCTTGGAATCTGATAGTCTCTAGTACACAGTCCAACACGGCCTGTCTGTACGCACGCGGTGAGGACAGGAGAAGGTTAGCTGCTTGGAGATTCACAGCTTCTTCTGGGTCAGGGTGCGAGAGCAGCTCCTATAAAGTTTCATACCAGATGTCAGTCTCTAATACTTTTCCCACGATTACTTATCCTAGTAGGTACATCTTTTTCTTTGGACCTTTGCCAAACATTCACGGATTTTTATCAAGGTAATTAATTCAGTGATCAAACTTTACCGCGAGCGTAGCTAACAATATTATTGATACTGGGACTCGATCCTGTGACTTCATTACGACAAGTGTATACAGCGTAGGGTTGTTGTATTTCCCAGAACTTCCCTCTTTTTAGTTGAAAGCATGAAATTCAGCATGCTTTACAAGAAGTAGAGGTTACAGTGAAACGGTGACTATATAATCGGTATTATAAAACAATAACGCGCCAGGGCCGTAGGCTGAGCAAATTCCTAGTGGAGGGGGCAGTGGCAGATCCAGGATTTCAAGGAGGGGGTAAGAAACAGGTGGGGGTCTGGGGACTAAAATTTTGAAAATGTAGATAGCAGGAGATTGTATTTGAGGCACTTTTGAGTACATGTACAGCCTTCATTCAGACTACGACAATTCTCTTTTAGTAGAACAATTTATTTTTTTAATTATCTATTTAATTTTTTTAATCTAGGGGTGCAGTAGCTTCTTTGCCCCCCCCCTGCAGGCTATACGGCTCTGCGCGTTCAGCACGGTTCAGCAAATACATTCTGCCTTGGCTTAGAATGTTCTGTGCAGATGTACCTGCAAATGTATCAAGATGTACAGTGCTGTGCAATTGTGAGACCAATGCTCCTTCTCCAAGCACCGCAAGCAGGGCTGACCAGTCTTTGCATCCACTAGGAATCAGTTAAAATATTGTAATGATAACTGTAAAGTTTGAATGCATCTATAATAATTTCTGAAAATTTCCATTTTAAACATTTTAGAATGATCTGCTAACTGAGCTTACAAGAATTTAAATACATGTATTGACTTGATATGATCTTCAGAACATTTTACGATGATGGCAGTCTAAATGAAAAGCTGTAGTCTATTACAAAATACACAAAAATTAACCCTCAAATATACATATTCCAATAATTGGTTAGTTCTTTTCAAAATAAGTTAACTTAAGATTCTGGGTTATGATAATTGAAGCAATGATTAATATAAAAAAATTATTGATATATATATATATACAGTGTTTCCCCTGCATTGACACGAGCAAGGCGGCCGCCTCGCTCAAATCTCGCCCGCCACGCAAAAATTTATCCAAAAACACTGCCTCTCTGACGAAAATCACTGTTCTTCCATCAATAAACTACACTTTATTGACAGCGTTCGAAATTAGTGCTGACCCGGAGGCCCGAGGCCACCCAAATATTTGCTTTGGCCACCATCTCTACAAAACTGCCGGTCCTCCTGACCGGCACTTTTTCCCCTCATATTACGCTGAAATACTACGGTTATCTTAACGGCAGTTTAGACAGACTTTTAAACGGGAGCACATTCTAATACGCTCCGTTCCAGAGCGTAGACGGGATATCCAAACCATCTAGAGCCGAGGGCATGAACTCCCTCAGCGCATGATTCGCCACACGAACAAAACCTCGTGACAGTCTAAGAAATCTATTGCGGTCCGTAGCGTAGCCCCGTGTTTTTATGACCGCATAACAATAAGTTCATGTGTCGCAGGGGTTATCGTGGGGAGTGAGGGCACGACCAGTGACACCTAACACGCACGTAATCAAAGCTGTTAACTGAATTCGGCACTTTTCTTTACGTAGAAAGTCGACTATTTTTATCCAGTTAGATATCTAGAAGCAATGTAAAGTGTATATAATTATACTTCAAGATTCTAGGCACTTGTAACTTTGTGGATATGCGGCATATGCATGAGGGTGCGCGTACAGAGGACTGGGAAAGAGAAAAACGAAAGTAAAACCTTTCCCAGCAGCTTGTTTGTTCCTTTTGACAACTTGAAAAAGTGATTCAAGAGTCTCATGTGTTCAGAATAGTTTAGAATGCACCCAATTGCACCTTTTTTTCCGGGGAAACATGCCCCCGGACCCCCCTAGCATGTTGGATTGCGCAACCACCAAAAAAAATCTTGCCGCCTCGCTGACCTTTCTGGCCAGGGGAAACACTGTATATATGAAATGATGACATGATATTGATTACTAAAAATCAATAACAATACAAAAACATAATTCAGTCAGTTTTTGTCAAAGTTGTCAATATGAGCAAATTTTACGTCACCAATTTTGACAAAAGATACCTACCATTTGGATGAAAAGGAATGGTAACAAACTTGACCTCCGGTGGGCAGTTATTGTAATCATGACCAAATTTCAACTTGACTTCAAACTTGCCCCCTGAAGATAGTACGTGAATCATTAAGGTATCATTTGCTAGAACTTTTCCCAAGTTTAACGTGTTTTAAAAACTACACAAGTAGGCCCATCATGTTTGCAGCGTATTGATGGCAATACATTGTGTTATTAGTGATTCCATTGATTGTGTTATAACTGATTCCATAGTTTGTGCTGAATCCAGTTGGTGAGATTGAGGCAATGTGAGTGTGAGGCAATGAGGCAGTGGTGAGACTTATGGGGCAGAGCTTTTTTGCTGTAGGTAACTTTCTTCTCTTAGCAACCAAGTTAGGGACTCACTGTAGTTAATTTAAATGCTCCTACACACTGCTGCATAACATGTGGCGGCATTGTGGCCACTATGTATGTTTATAAGATCTGCTCGGTTATTTTTGAGCAAAGCAATGTCATTTAGTTGAATTAGGTTCATCTTTGTTGTGCCCAAAAATATCCTATTCAAATTCCACAATTTTATACAATTGTATCTGCACATCTCACAATTCTTGTTGATACCAGTCTCAATAACGACGTTAGAATCAATATAACAGCAACTAAAATGTCACAATTTATTATTTGTTAAAACATTTACTCTACAATTTTCAGATACCTTCAACAGTAAAATGAATATTATTCTATGAACGTTCATTTGTCTCAAATTTTCTGTTATTTAAATGAGACATTGCATAGAATTATTTTCTAGAAAATTGGCTAAGAACCTTCCCATGGAGTGTCTTTCAATCCGGTAATTGTGCCAGTCCATTCAAAAATATTATCTTTGGCATATTCAAATGCTCCAATTCCCTACATTAACCAAATAGAAGTTCATAATGCACATTTAATATACCATAATTATTTGGAGTACCAGGTACCACACAAGATCTTCTATGTGGTGCATATCTTCATAGTTCCAACATTTTTTATCTGTATTTTTTGTTTTATATAAAATTCATAAAGCAAACAAAAAGTTATAGTAAATTACATGTACTGGTAGACAAAGATTCATTCCAACTGATCGGTACATGAATATTATGAATTCGTAGTTTCAGGATGGCAATACTTTCCACATACACTGATTTTCAGCTGCTGAACTTCGACATATTCCTTCTTAATTAGCACCTGTGTCCTTGACAGCATTTTTGTCGTTGTGCGCGTATTTCCTTCCTAAAAAGAGTAAAATATGCTCTGTTCAGGGAAGTCATTAACGGCCAAATTCAAATACGGAATGACAGAAACAATTTAAAAAAGAAGCTAAAAAAAATCCTTAGAAGATGGCAATGTCGAAAACAATAATCACGCTCAGATGATCGAATACATCGGACAGGCTTCATTAAGCAAAATGCCAATTTCACCTGACCATGATAAATTTTATGAATTTTATGAATTTATTAAATTTTAAAATTTTATAAATTTTACATCGTAAAATTAGTTGTTGATATATAATAGTAATACAGGGAGACTTTACGTAGCAATTACGAATTATAGTATTGGTAGAGAAATATATTATAGGGTACTACTACAAGTATGAATACTTCTTCGCCTTCGTTTCTGTCAGTGTCATTCCATGTTGGAATTCTCTTCCTCTTTCAGTCTGCCTGTCTGGTTCTTTGGTCAATTGAGCTTGAATTTGAAGCCTACAGTACTGCTGAACTGCGATTCGCAGTGTTGATCCGTGGTCTGTCTACTCGATCAACTTGAACTTGGTGGTTCTCCGACTTTGATATAGTGCCATGGACTTTGAAAACCAATCTTTATACGGTTAAAGTGATGCACTAGATGAGGTTATGGCACTAATGCACTAAACATCAAAACAGCTGACTTTGCGCAAAACGCTTTTGCGTCTGACTTTGATGTTTGTTTACCCAGGGGGCAAAACAAGTGAGCATATATACTTGATACGTGGTGATCGAGATTTTGTTGTTGCATAAATATTATGTTTATCATCGTGCTTCTTGATTTGTATAATGGCATGTACCATAGATATAGAAGAGAAGTCTTCTCTTCTATATCTATGCATGTACGTGATTCTAGTGCATACAATGTGATTCTAGCGCATATATACAACGCACCATCAGTTTTGATTATCCGTCTGCTAATACCCCGTTTGTAACATGGCTGGCGGAACAAGTTCAAATCAACAAGGCTTCCGGGGTGGGAAACGGCGCCACCAGTCACCACTGCCACCGCACCAGCTCAGCTGTGTTAGGTTATTTATAGCAGAGCAGATCTAGCATGTCGGCTTCTGTGAAGGTTGTAGCGGCGGTCCATGCACGCACGACTGCGTCTCCACGTTAGTACTAGTAGGTCACGTAGAGGTGAGCATGTACCCTGTGCTGGTGCATAGTCACGCCCATCGGCATCGGACCTAGACCGCCACTAGACATGTTTGCAGCTGTGTGCCGAGTTGTCACTGCCACTGTCAGCGCAGGTGCTACATATTCGGTAACCCACTCGCACAAAGTCGCACCCGCCTGCAGTACTTTCGCCTGTCTGAGGCTGAAGTCACCAGAGCGACACTACAACAACTACTGTCATAGTCGCAGGATGTCTAGCGCCGAAGCCCCACAAGGAGTGGTAGTGGAGTTGGATGAGGTTAAGCAGTACATGGTAAGATGCATGACCAAAGTAGGCACAAAGCAAGCTCATGCCGAGGCACTAGCTGACGTGCTGCTCGCTGCCGATCACAGGGGACATTACAGCCATGGCTTAAATCGATTGGGTAAGCATGTCGTGATACTACTGCATGACAGTACTGTATACACACACACTGATAAGATTATATTGTAAACTGTTCTACTAGGCCTAGCTGGTTTTAGAATGCTACATTATCTCGGTTAGGCCACGTACGTATAATGTTGCACCACAAATTGTCGTCCCTGCACAAATTGTCAAAACCTCACACCACAATTCGTCTCCTGCACAAATTGTCGCTGCTTGCACAAATTGTCGTCAGTCGCTGTTTTTAAGCTACAGAATATTACAGAATACACATTATCCTCACAAAAAGGATATAACTACCTATAGCTATAGCTTTACCCAAGCTAGCTAGGTCACACCTCATGGCTAGCTATAACCCGACCAGGCTGTGTGACTAACGTCAATACGGTATTCTAACCCTAGCAATGCCGTTTCTTGGAGCTAGGCTATAGCTATATATAGCCCTGGACGTTTATTCCTTACGGAATGTCCCTGCGTTATTATCCACGTAACCGTGGGCTACGCAGTAAACTATCCAGATCGAGATCCCGGATCGAGACCCCTGATCCAGATCTTAGAAAAAATCGCAGGTACCATATATACCCTACAAGTACGTACATGCAACACTCATATATGGTACATACAACTACAACATGTACGTGTGTTGAACTTGTACTTGTAGGGTATATACGTACGCTACCAAAAATGTAACTACAGCAATATTGTGTGATGATTGCATTATGCAATTATCATAAAACGGTTATATATGTACGTACAGTATATGCGACAGATTATAAGAAATAGTACGTAATTGAAACCCTCAATTCCGATATGTAAGCTGTTTCATGCTGCGTGTTAATTATCATGCACTGGAATCTCAAATAACGTTATAGAACCGAATGTTGTGTGGGGGCCGATAATAAAAATGTGTATTCATTGTTTTTACATGATACGTACGTTATTTCGCCTGTATATCAAGATGTGTGTTTTGGATGAAATCTACAAACTGAGCACACACTTCTGTATGACCACCTTCTTCTAACCAATTAAAAACCATGAAGTTTAATACACGTTCTGGTGGAACTGTAAATAACTTTGTATATATATAACACTGCATGCATGTGACCCCTTTTTGTCTACCTAAAATAGTTGCAAAAAAACAGAGTTCTCCTGAGGAATTTCGGAAAGCATGTTGTTTATGTATGAATGGGTCAGGGCCCATTTGTTCCCCCTCCCAATACATGAATGTTAATAAAATCAATAACACGTCATTTTAGGCACTTATTTCGCCTAATAAACAGGAGAAGATTGAAGAGAAATGGGAATATATCATGAAAATATTGTTGTTAAAAAATATGTAAATTATATAAAAAAAAGTTTGACTTATTATGAGCAAGTAGCCTAAGTCAATAAAGCTGAAGGGGTCGTTGTCGTATCAGGTTACTGGTACTACGTATATGTACCCGAGGTACATATATATGTATACACAAAGTGTACCAGACTTGTACTACAGAAGTGTACCCTATAAACCTAACCCTAACCCTAACCCTAACCCTAACCCTAACCCTAACCCTAACCTTAACCCTAAACATACCTCATATAAAAATATAAACATAATTAATACTAAACAACTTAAAACTATATACCTCGGGTACATATATACATATGTACAAGAGCTAATAATACCTAGAGTGTACAACGGAAAAACGGGAAAATAGTGCTATTTCACGACAACATTATTCTACCTTGCCTGCGAGTCTATAATAATTTCATGGTATTGCATTAAGCAGAATTCTTTGCTCTCTAAAACAAGACCAACCGCTTGTCAATACGATACTCCTAGGCGGAGATATCGGCTCCTAAACCTCCCCTCCCACATGCCAAACGCCGCCTCGAATCCACTTCTGTCCCCATCCTTCACGCGGCTAAGCGTTGCTTCGTGAGAGTTCGGTTTTTCCGCCATAATTTTATGAATGATTTTCGGGTGCAGGTGCAGGGTGGAGGTGACTTTCGGGGGCATCGCCTATGCCCTTATCTCCCATTATCTTTCCTAGCACGGCTAATGCCCGTCATGATGGAGCCGGCAATGTTTTTTTAATTAAGTCTCTACAACGCAGCTAGTAAGAGTACCAAATTTGGGCATGTGACATCAATTATCAGCGCTCCAAGCGGTGACGGAAACCGATAGCCGAAATGCTTAGACGCGTGAAGGATGGGGACAGAAGTGGATTCGAGGCGGCGTTTGGCATGTGGGAGGGGAGGTTTAGGAGCCGATATCTCCGCCTAGGAGTATCGTATTGACAAGCGGTTGGTCTTGTTTTAGAGAGCAAAGAATTCTGCTTAATGCAATACCATGAAATTATTATAGACTTGCAGGCAAAGTAGAATAATGTTGTCGTGAAGTAGCACTATTTTCCCGTTTTTCCGTTGTACACTCTAGGTATTATTAGCTCTTGATATGTAGTACCTGATACGACAACGACCCTTCATGCGTCAATATAATTATAAAGCCTTTATGTTTAGTTTTCCATAAAATTACAATGTCCTAACATAACATCAAATAGTACTACTGCATGCAGAATTAAAGTTCTGACATCACCACAATGAAGTTTCTCATGATAATACAATAACGTATACATCAAGCTGGGAAAATATAGAATGACTGATGTTGGGATAGTCAAAACATAGCTGACAATTATAAGGCATGTCGATTAAGCAATTAAGGCATGTCCAGAATTTGTGGGATGTCGCAAATTAGTTTCAGAAACATATTGGACCCAACAGGCATTAGCGCAATTCCACGGTTAGTAACGTTTAGTTACAGTAACTGTTAGTTACAGTTTGTCTGTCATAGGTATAAATGATAATGTGTAGTATTTTACACATATATATATAATATATACTCTTCAGGGAAATATCAGTATAATTACTGTGCTGCATGATATAATCAGGAGTGAATAATAATAGATTAATAATCTATATATATAAATAATCTAATTATCTAAATAATTTAATATAATTTAAATTATTATAAAATTATTTATAATTATCTAAATAATATAATAATCTATTATTATTCACTCCTGATATAATCATAATAATCCAACTTGTGTTCATTTAGGTAGCAGTACCATTTATAGTTTCAGATAATTGTATGAATATCATAACACACCAAACTTAATATGTAATTATGCCTTCAGTTAATAGGTAAACAAAGCGAAAGGTACAAGTTTCACTAATTTCTAAAACACTACAAAGATGTAAGAACCTCATTTAACTGGGTATAACACTAATTTAGCAATGCATCTGTCCCATTATGTGTCAAAACTAATAAAAAAAGAATAACTATCTAGATACAAATACATGACTATGCACATTGAGCTGTATTTTTATATTCTCAGTTTAGATATATATTCTCATTTTAAGTATTTCATTTACATGTGTGTGGAAAATTTGAAATGTCCACAATTATTGGCAACTTCTGGAACATCCAACTATGAAATCATCTTCTCCTTCATATAGAAGATAATGTCCTTTGGAGAAGGCCACTAGCTTCCAATAATTACCTGCACACATTTCATCACACTGCCGACAGACACTTGGAACTCATCTACACCTACAGCTACCACTTCTCCAGGAAATCTACGTCCTTCCTAGTCCACTATGTACCAGTCTCACACCTCAATAGACTTGTCATTGCCTGGATCACTTGGCGACCCGATGCAATGCACATCATCATCAATATTACCATTGATGCTGTCCCTTGTCAGGATGTGTGGCACAACATTGCCATTTACCACGTGCATGAAATGCATTTTTGCAAGGCCCGTGATGGCTGTAGCCTGGGCAAACACAATATCTAAGTTCAGAGCATTATTTCTCTCTGCTATCTCAATTTAATATCGGTTAGTAACGTTGCAGCTTGGTTAGTAACGTTACAGCTTGGTTAGTAACGTTACAGATTTGGCTGCTGTTATTTTCCATGTGCTACAGTTTCATGTTCCCTCAGAAACTCAGGATAGTACAGTACCAGGGAGTCTATAATAGGCCTATTATAGACTCCCTGACAGTACTTAGAGGAAAATTTAAAATAGGACTGTGTAAGAAAAAACACAACTTCCTTTTCTTCCAACAAAAAAAAGTTGATGTTTTGGTTAGTAACGTTACACAATTCTGAAGGGCTTAGCATTTTATAAAAATAAAGTTTAGTCCCAATAGAATCATGCAATTTGATTTTAAGAGCTGAGAGATATATTCAGTTGAAGAATAAAATTGATTACAATAAATTTATTTTGTGAATTCTTCTTTCTTTTAGCAAAATAATTTTGTATGTTTTACATGGAAAATTTTGTGTTAAAAAATCAACCAAGCAAATGTGGTGTCCATGTACATTCTTATGGAAGACACAACATAATAAATTTTTTTTCTCTGAAACTGGTCTATAGATATACAATCATATGAAAGTATAATTACTGAAAATTCATGATTCTAACATTTAAGGTCATATCCACGTACTTGATCATGGAATTTCCCATTAAATGCCTTGGGTAAACCCTGATATATGTTTCTTAATTATAATTAAACTGTGGTACGTGCTACATGTTACTGCAATAATAATGGAAAGTTTGTTACTTTACAGATATGTACGTACATGATATTCGGTCAAAGATTTGTCGTAGTGACATCGAACCATCTATCATAAAAGAAACGGCAGCAACTGCGTATGTAAATGGCAATAATGTCCTTGGTCCAGTGGTTGGAAATTTCTGCACTGATCTTGCCATTAAAAAAGCAAAAGAAGCGGGCATCGGATGGGTTGTCGCAAAAGGTAAACTGACATTTGAGTATTAAAGTTGCTAGTTCTCACAACAAAATGCATAAATACACCTACTGTGATCATGCTTGTAGTATGAAAACATCACGACATGTTCTCATTGAGCCAGAAATGTGCTCCGAGGTACAGTAGTATAAAAACTGACTTCGTGAGACTATTTAGATTTGCTGAAGAAATGTTATGAAAGTAGCAATACAAATGAGTTGTAGTGAATTTTTACAACATAGACGAGATCACAGTAGGTATATCTATGCATTTTGCTGCTATAGAACTGGCAACTTAAACCAATCATATTGTAACAATTATTGTTTTGTTACATCCCTTTGCTTACTTATTATATCATTGAAACATCAATAATATTTCCAGTTTATAAGGATATTCAGTGTACTTGAATATCTGAACAAATGTCATATATATATATATATATATATATTGAATATGATATGTATAACAGCTGTATAAATTGCACACAAATTTGTTCATTTTGAAACACCAAAATTTTCACTAGCTAAGTAGAATGTGGAGGTCAATTTCCAGGTTGTGTGTAAATCCAACTTGTTACTAGGTTATCAATTGTTAAGTCAATATTTTTAGCTGCTTACTCAATGTATATTTTCTGTAGGATCGAATCACTTTGGTATTGCTGGCTGGTATAGCATGCGAGCCTCAGACCAGGGCTTTTTGGTAAGTTTCAAATTTAAGAAATAAAAATTATACTGGCAAAAGAGTGTTAACCACAATAGTCCGCTAATAAATGTAAATGTAGGCATGAGAGCAGCTTATCCCAAAAATTTGTGGTATAAATGTCATTTAAAAAATGATTTATTACATAGAGTCTGTATACTATTTTCAGTAATTTTGAACATGATTTTTGTAGGGTATGGCATTCACAGACACCTCTCCCCTTGTAGTGCCAACGCGAGCGAGAAAGGTATAATCTTATACAGATACATATCTTCACAGTAGCACATTAAAAGAGAAAATTCTCATACAACTCTAGTGCTAAGAATTAATATTTTAGGGCAGTAAGCATCTGATGATACGTAAGCATTTGTGAAACAGTTGTGATTGATATTATTCAAGACTGGTGCGATTATAAACATTGGCAACTGTGCATAACACCTTAATTATCATATATTATGCATGAACATTGTGTCGTATGTCATTTAATGTATGGCGCAATTTCATAGTCTATGTACTTTTATATATTTTATATCAATGCTTTAAAGTTACTCTTGTTTTTGTTTTCTTCCAGCCTGTCCTTGGAACAAACCCAATCACTTTGGCTGCTCCAGCTGCAGAAGGAGACAGTTTCGTTTTGGACATGGCCACATCAACCTGTGCTGTTGGAAAGGTTTGTGTTTTATAATTTTGAAGGCTGCATGGGCACACTAAGTAGGTCTTGCTTTACTGCAAATTGCACATGTTGACACATCACAGACATTCTTGGGATTCATATGATTCTATGTTCTATGCACACAAAATTCAAACCTATATTCTAAATAGGACATTTCTAACTGCAGTTAAAATGCCAGTTGCCTAGGTTATGGAAATAGCAGTTCTCCAACAGACTAGGTGTGGCTCCATTCTACTGTGCTGTTATTGAATCTGACAGTTTTTCTAATGGACTATTGTGATTCATCCCTATCTGATATCATGTTCTTCATCATTTAAGTGGAAATAGGTCATTGACAAAGAATTGAGGTTTTGCTTAAGAAATCTTTGTAGTGTAAAAAAACGCGAGAAACCGGCCTGCAAATCCGTGAGGCGTGCTTCTGTAACTACAGTTAAAAGAACTATCCTACAGTACTTACCTACAATACCTACTAACCAAGCATGGCATGCATGCACACACAATGCTCACACGCAAGCTCCACACTCATGTGGCCATATATATTGCCCAAAGATTTTGAAGTTACACTACAGGTTATAAAGAAAAAGTAAACTCAAGATAAATGATCAAAATGAAGAAGTTCCTGCATGGTTATTAGCTAGCCCTTATTAAGCGAGCTTCAGACATTAGTGTGGCTGGCACTACTTGATAAGATTCTATAGAGAAAAATTGAAAAGGGGAATATATATACATGTGTATATCGGAAGCCTTGTCTCGAAATGCTTTTCAGATTGAGCTTCAGCACCGTAAGGGATTGCCCATTCCGAATGGTTGGGGAGTGGACTCTGAAGGCAAAGTAAGTTGTCAGGTTCATTGAGATGTTAATCAACTAGATATTCAAACCTTGTCGTACTTACACACTTGTAAATTGTGTTTGTAGTTAGAACGATCATCAATGCACAGATTGCTGTGACAGGCATTTGGCATGTACTTTATTAATGGTATTCACGTCTTTTCGATTGGTTCGTGCAGTACCAGATTACAACCACTATTGACATACAGATGTGGATTACAGGTACGGTGCTGCAATCGGTACACTATGCCAAGCTATATAAGATGTGACATGTAAAACACACCACATTGTGTGCTTGCAGGAAGTGAACGACCCTGAAAAGGTTCTGGGCAGCAAAGGTGGCTTGTTGCCTCTAGGTGGCACTGAGATCAGCAGTGGCTACAAGGGCTATGGCCTAGGTATGATGGTGGAGGTGTTCTGTGGCATTCTCGCCGGCTCTGCGTACGGGCCGAACATTCGCAAGTGGATGAACACGACTACTGAGGCTGACCTGGTACGAAACATTGCTGCTCTTGCTTCATCGCTAAATTTATAACTTTGTGGGGTCAAATAATAAGCATGTCATAAATAAGCACAGTGGATCTATAATGTGAGTGTGTGTGTGCGTGCGTGCGTGCGTGCGTGCGTGTGTGCGTGCGTGCGTGCATGCGTGCATGCGTGGGTGCGGGCGTGTGTGCGTGAATGTAGAATGGGTTTGATAATTTATGGATGTAG